TTCTGCAATTACCTCAATCACGATTCAGAATATTGGATCTCTGGCTCCGATTAAGCTCACTACTACGAATTATCTGACTTGGAGTGATATTTTCGCTCTGATCTTCCGTCGGTATAATCTCACTGGTTTGATCGATGGATCCATGGAAGCACCGTCTAAATTTCTTCTTGATGCCTTAGGAAATCGTACTACAACCTTGAATCCAGAATTTGTGACTTGGTTCGAGAATGATCAGAACATTCTCTTATTCCCTAGACCGTTGGCATTACATATGTTCGTGAAATTTGGGCTAAATTGGAATCACGCCTTGCCACTGCCTCTCAATCGCATATTCATGAGCTCCAATCTCGCATTCGCAATCTTTCCAAAGGTGAATCCACTGTTGCTCAATATCTCCAGAACATTGAAGAAATTGCTGATGCACTTGCCAGTGCTGGTGTACCGATTGATGATTCTAATCTCATCCCCGTCACTTTCCATGGCTTGCCTCCTGAATTTGATTCGTTTGTGGATGTGATACAATTCCGACTTGGATCTACAACGATTGATGAACCTCATGGCCTGTTGATAAGCAAGGAGATTCTACTCAATCATCACAAGAAATGGTCATCTGCGACACCTTTTCAGGCTTATTCATCGTATGCTGGTATTCTGCCTACACTGTCACACCCAAACCCTAATTCTCAAGCCTTCACTGCTTAGAATTTCTCAAATTCCACAAATAACAGTCATGGCATGGATCCCAATTCCAGGAATTATTCTCAAAATCGAGGCAATTTTCATTCAAACAACAATCACAATGAGCGACAAAATTCATATAGCAACAAGCGATACCTTTTCAGGCTTATTCATTGTCCGCTGGTATTCTGCCTACACCATCGCACCCAAACCCTAATTCTCAAGCCTTAACTACTCAGAATTTCTAAAATTCCACAAACAACAGTCGTGGCATAGATTGCAAGTCCAGGTATTATTCTCAAAATCGAGGCAATTTTCGTTCAAACAACAATCATAATCAGCGGTAGAATTCATATCGCAACAACAATCAGAGGCAAAACTACAATAATAATAATCATGGAGGTCGAAACACTTTTCAACTTTCTGGCAAGAAAGTTTCTTGTCAAATCTGCAGATAATTTGATCACGAAGCTTAGGACTGTCCTCATTGCATGAATGCCAATTACAGTGCTACATCCTTACTCTACAATGGTGGCAAACACCTCTAATTTTGCTCCTACTTTGATTGTAGACTCAGGTGCTACTTCTCACATGACCAACTTATATGGCAATCTTCAGAATCCAGAAGCCTATAGAGGACGTGAACAAGTTTACACTGGTGATAGAAAGGGTTTATCCATCTCTCATTCTGGATCTTCTATTTTTCCTACTGCAAATTATAATTTTCAATTAAATAATGTGCTTCATATCCCTGCTCTTAAGCAAAATCTACTTTCTGCAAATCAATTTTTGATTGATAACTGGTGCTCAATGCATCTTTATCCTTTTCACTTCACATTAAAGGATCTTTCTTCGGGGAGGATACTTTTTAAAGGTCCTGTCAGAGAAGGTTTATATCATTTTCATCCCTCTTCATCTCATGTTGTGAATCCTAAAGCTTTGACTGCAACTGTTAAAGCTTCCAATAAAGTGTGGCATCAAAGGTTGGGCCACCCATCTGTGAAGATTTTACATAAATTGGCTGCAACATCATGTATCTCAGTTTCTCATAGTAAAAATAAAGTCTTTTTGCTCAGATTGTGCATTAGGCAAGTGTTCTAGACTTCCTTTTGTATATGCTACTTGCACTACAAGTAAACCTCTAGGGCTTATTGACACAGATGTTTAGGGGCCCGCACCTGTGTCTTCTCTCAATGGCTCTAGATATTATGTACTTTTTGTGGATGATTACACCAATTATACTTGGGTTTTCCCTTTAAGATACAAGTATGAGGTCTTCTCTATATTTGTTCAATTCAAGAATCTTGTTGAAAACTCTCTGTATACTAAAATAATTGCACTCAGATCTAATTATGGTGGTGAGTTCATGAGTAGTTCTTTCTCTCAATTTTTTATTGCCAATGGCATTCAACATCAACTTAGTTGTCCTCATACACCTGAGCAAAATGGGTGTGCAGAACGAAAACATAGGCACTTAGTTGAAACTGCAAGGACTTTGTTGGCAGCTTCTAGTGTTCCTTATGTCTATTGGGTTGATGCATTTGCAACTGCAATTTATCTGATCAATCGATTACCTACTGCCTACAAATCTTCGCCTTGGGAGTTATTATTTCAAAGGTTGCCAAATTACAGTACTCTTCGAGTTTTTGGATGTGCTTTTTTCCCTTGGTTACAACCATATTCTCCTTCCAAGCTACATCTGAAGAGCAAGTTATGTGTTTTCATGGGATATAGCTTGCATCATAAAGGTTATAAATGTCTTGACCTTGTGACCAAGAAGGTTTACACATCCCGGCATGTTCTTTTTGATGAAACAAGTTTCCCTTTTCATAATCTTTCAGTCTCTGTCCCTTCCACATCTCTCAATTCTCCTCCTCAGCAAATCCCATCATCTCTCACATTTCCCACTCCTACTTCATCTTCTTTTTCTTTACTCATTCCTGCTATATCATCACCCCCACCTACAACCTTTACCTTATCCAATTCTCTGCAACCTACTTCCCTTACCACAGCATTACAGGCTTCATCACCCTCTAATCCAACCTTACCACCTCTCTTACCTTCCTCTAATCATCACCCAATGCAGACAAGATCAAAGTCTGGGATATTCAAACCCAAGGTTTTCATATCCATAAAGCATCCACTTTTAACTCATATTTCTTCAGATTATACTCCTCACACCTATCTGCAAGCATCAAAACATCCTCACTGGCGCCAAGCAATGTAGAAGGAATATAATGCTCTTCTCAGCACAGGTACATGGTCTTTAGTTCCCTCCATATCATCTTATAATATTGTCGGCTGCAAGTGGGTATTCAAAATCAAAAGAAAGCCATATGGGTCTATTGACAGATACAAGGCCCGATTAGTTTCTAAAGGTTTCAATCAACAAAAGGGCTTGGACTATTCTGAGACTTTTAGTCCAGTGGCAAAACCAGTTACCATTTGAATACTTCTCACTCTTGCTTGTCAATTTGATTGGTTTCTTAACCAACTTGATGTTAGCAATGCTTTTCTGCATGGTACACTTACAAAATCTGTGTTTATTCAACAACCTCCTAGTTTTGAGGATTCAACCAAGCCAAATCATGTTTGTCATTGTCACAGGTCTCTATATGGTTTGAAACAAGCTCCTCGAGCTTGGTATGAAAAATTGAATGGTGCTCTGTTTTCTTTGGGGTTTATTGGTTCCTAAAATGATCATTCCTTGTTTATCAAAAAGGATTCACATTTGGTATTCATATTGGTCTATGTGGATAACATTTTAGTCACTGGACCCTCTTCTGCAAAATGTCAAAAGATGATTACACAATTGAGTAGTTTGTTCCCTGTTAAAGATCTTGGCCCTTTGCATTATTTTCTAAGCATTAAGGTTAAGCGATCATCATCTGGGATCTTTATTAATCAGACCAAATACATTCTTGATCTTCTGCAAAAGTCTCACATGGATGGAGCAAAACCATGTTCAACACCTCTCAGTACAGAAAAGCTTGATCATGAGTCTCCACTTTTTAACAATGTTACTGAATACAGGTCCTTGGTAGGTGCCTTACAATATCTCACCTAGACTCGACCTGATTTGAGTTTTGCTGTTAATCTTGTTTGTCAGTACATGCATAGTCCCCGAGTCTCTCATTTTCAAGCTGTTAAAAGAATCATTCGGTACTTAAAAGGTTCTATTGATATGGGTTTATGGTTCTCTAAAAGCCCTGTTCCTTTGGCACTTCAAGCATTCTCTGATGCTGACTGGGCAAGATGCTCTTTAGACAGGCGATCCACTAGTGGTTTCTGTATTTTCCTTGGCAGTTCCATTATTAGTTGGAGTGCTAAAAAGCAACCAACAGTGGCAAGATCATCCACTGAAGCAGAATACAGGTCCCTTGCTAATACTGTCGCAGAGTTGTCCTGGATTTCCAAGCTTTTAGTTGATATTAACTATTCTCCTCCTTGTTCTCCTCAGTTGTGGTGTGATAATATCTTTGCCATTTCTCTGGCGAAGAATCCTATTTTTCATGCCCGCACGAAGCATGTTGAAATAGATTATCATTACATAAGGGAGAAAGTGTTAGCCAAGCAACTTGCTATCCAATTTGTGTGTACACAAGATCAAGTTGCAGACATTTGTACCAAGTCTCTGTCCAAGTCCAGATTTACCCTTCTCAGACACAAACTCTCTCTTCGGGTACCTCAGTTTAGTTTGAGGGGGGCTATTAAGGATGAAAGTATAAATATCTCCTCAATAAATAAAACTTAGAGACTAAGTAATTGTTACAGTTTTGTTAGAACAGTTAGTCATTGTTGGACTTTGTTAGGACAGTTTGTTAGACTTGACTTACATGTATATTTACTCAAATGTAATCTTATTGTGATTGATGAAATGAATAATACATTTTCTAATGGAAGAAACTTGTCAAATTTCGTATTTGATGTGAAACCATGAAATCAAGGGAGGGAGGAAGATCGGAACTCGAAGACTCGAGGAGCAGCCCCTAAAAGGGGAGCCGTAGAAACGGCGGGAGAGAGGCGGACGTTTTGATGCGAAATTGGTTCTAAGCTGTTTGATGGAAAAAATTGATACTTTTTTTATGTTAAAACTATTAAAAGCAAATTGATTACTAGCCGTAGGATATCATCTAACGGCCACGAAATGATTGGTCTGGAGGCCCCGTTGTGAAGGTTCCGCCGAGGACCCGAGCCCATCATTTTTAATTGCTAAATCTGCAGACAAATATATTCCCACTCGGAAGGTCTAGAATAAAATATTTTGAAAATGAAAGAATATTAGTATATTATAAAATTAGACTAGACAGAGCAATTCTCTCTCTCTCTCTCTCATACACTGGCCAACACATAAAGCAAGGGCCATACATACAGAACGACCACAAACAACCCTCACTCCTCTCAAAAACATTCTTTTCTATTTTGTTTTCCAGCTTTTGTAAGCAGTTTCAAGAAAAGTGAATTTTTCTCTCTTTTTGAGGAAAACAGTTTTCTTCTTCTTCCTATAGGCTACAGCTCTCCTTCTTTGTGCACTCAAGTTTTCAGCCATGGATACTGCACAGTGGCCACAGGTAGACAGATATTTTATTTTTCATTTTTCATCATCAAACCCTTTTAATTCCCTCCTCCTCCTCTTTACTTCTATATGAATATATACAGTCATCTTTTTGTTCATTAATTGAATGGCCTTGTGGATCCTCTTTTCTTTCTGTAAGGATATTGATGCAAGTCCCCACTCAGTTTTTGGATTTAGTTTTTATCAGTTCTTCAACATGGTGTTTCACTTTACCTTTTGTTTAGGTGATAAAGTAAAAAAGAGCCCAATTATCTTTTGTTGTTTTTGTTCCTCTCCTTTTGTTGCTGGCTCATACAATTTTCAAAAAAGTGTAAATTGAAAAGCAGTTCCTTCAGTTGTTTTGTTTTGCTTGTCTTTCTGCCATTTCTCTAATTTCACAGTATTCCTACTGATCAAATATTATTTCTTTTGTTTGTTCTGAAATTTATCTTGTTCTTTTTTCTGTTGGCTTTTTTAGGGAATTGTGGTGAATCCAATAGAGGAGATAGTGACAAACTCATGCCCTAAGCCTGCAGCAGCTAATAATTTGGAGAGGAAAGCAAGGCCTCAGAAGGAACAAGCCCTAAACTGTCCAAGGTGCAACTCCACCAACACGAAATTCTGCTACTACAACAACTACAGCCTCACACAACCAAGGTACTTCTGCAAGACTTGCAGAAGGTACTGGACTGAAGGTGGGTCCCTCAGAAGCATCCCAGTTGGAGGTGGTTCAAGGAAGAACAAGAGATCTTCATCCTCAAACAATTCTCCATCGACAACTTCTAACAATTCTTCTTCTTCCTCAGCATCCAAAAGGCTTCCTGATCTGATTCACCAAAACCCTAAAATCAACCAAGCCCAAGATCTGAACCTCACTTTCCCATCCACTAATCAAGATTTCAGGAATATTATCTCTGGTCACTTGCTTAATCACCATCATCAACAATTTCCAAACAACAACATCAATGATCAAAGCACCGACAAGCAGCAAAACCACATCTCTACTTCTTCCCCAACTTCTACTACTACAACTACAACAACATCCCACCTTTCTGCCTTAGAGCTTCTCACTGGATTGACTTCTAGGGGTTTGAACTCCTTCATGCCTATGCCAGTCCTATCAGACCCGAACAACAACAACTCTGTATATAATAGTCCCTCTGGACTAATTAATCCGATGCAGGATTTCAAGCCAACTCTTAATTTTTCACTGGATGGGCTTGGAAGTGGATATGGGAGTCTTCAAGGTTATCATGTTCAAGAGAGCAGTGGGAGGCTTTTGTTTCCATTTGAAGATTTGAAACAAGCTCCTTCGGGAGGAGGGATTAATGAGCAGAACAAGCAGCATGGAGATTCAACTGGGTATTGGACAGGAATGCTAGGAGGAGGATCATGGTAATTAGTAACAAGAAGAGATTTGCATCCTGGGTTTTTTCTTTCTCTTATTTCTGATTTTAAACTTTTTATTAATCTTTGGCTTTTTTGGTGGGTGACTTAATGTTTGGATTTCTTCATAACTAACAGATAGGATACATGGGTTTTCTTAATATTTCTTCAATTCTCCTTCTCTTTTTTTTCTTGGAATTGCCTTTACTCTTTTGAAGTTAGATGGTGGTGGGTTTTTGAAGCTTATTTTAGATATGGCTTCAAAATGGCTTCTTACGAGTAAGGAGCTGGGCAATGTTCATAAAAAAAGGGCGTGGAGGATGGAATCTATGGTATCAATCAAGACCAGCCCAGATTTTTTTTAGGGTAGAAAAAGTAGAAAAGAGGCATATGGCATGCACTGTACAATCATCTGCCCTTTTTAATATTTCATGTAATTTATTCTAGTTCTATCACTACAAGAAAATCAAAGGGCGTCGCGGTCCACGGTAATGTGCTACTAATCGGTTCGCTTGGTACAATAAATAATATGTATAATTTGCAACTTAGTTTGTAAGGATCTGAAGTGAATGCAATGTAATTGTTTATCTCCATGCATCTATTTACACACACACACACATATATATATTGTTGTTTTAGGAGGATTTTAGTTTAAGGTTTTATTCTGAAACAGAGATTCTTCCAGCCATTACACAAAGATCTCCATGAAGCATATGAGCAAGAGGGGAGAGCTTGCTAGCTGAAGAGCCAGATAAGAACTCTGATGCCTTCCACATGACTTCGTAATAAACAACTTTCAAAAAAGCAGCTTCTGGCTTCTCTCCATGTTTTAATTTAGAACCACTAAACCTTCTTACTTAAACCAAAGGCTCACCTACTGACTACATATCCAAACAGTTCTGAAGACTCCGTCTCTATGTCCCATTTCCTGGAATGCTATCATTGCTTCCATTCCATTCCACACCCCCTTTCTTTTTTTTTTTTTTTTTCTTTTTTTTTTCTCCAATGAAAGATTGAGAGAAAGAACTGACAAACCCTACTTTCTTTGGTCTTTGTTGGGACCCACAAACATTCCCCTTGGCAAGTGAGAAAGAATAATACACCCCACTAAGTTGATCCATCTAGATCTGGACTCTCAAATTTTTTAACGTTTTAAATTTCTTTGTTTCTTGCTGTAAGCCACTTGTGGTGCATGATAAAAAAATAGTGATGTTATCTACACATTTATTTTTATTTTTTATATATTATTTTAATTTCTAACCGTCAGATTGAATAAATTAAAGAAGATTAATGAATAAAAGTTAATAGAAGTGTGAGGGCAGTAAAAAATGGTGTGAATTATAAGACCACCGTTAAAAAAATAGAATACACATAACATTTTTCTTTCTTTTTTTACATAATTTTTTATTTTTGTCTTTTGATTCTTTTTTAATATTTTCATTCAAAGAGTCGAAAAATAAAAGAAGCGAGAGTAAAAAAGAAAAGATGAAATTGAAGCAAATGTTCCTGATCTATAGCACGAGTTTAGTTTTTGCCTCTGAACTTTATTAATACTTTCCTTCCTCAAATTATGTCATTCATTGCACTATTAGTCTTTTTCATTAAAGTACCATGAACTATCCACAAAATTTCATGTTTATGATTGGAACTTCTGAATGATTGACTACACGATTTTAGTTTCAATTGATCTCTTTAATACCCCATAAAGTATTTTGAAGAGGAGCTCCTCCTTAACCTTAAGGAGCCAAGCTCTTCTCTTTTTTAAATAAATTAAATGGTTTTTGTATGAAGCTTAAATTTGATAGAAAAGAAGAGAGATTTGATGGAAAGAACACTCATGCAACACAGAGTTAAATTGAAGGACGAGAGAAACTAATATGAAAGCTTAGTCACGAAAAATAAACATAAAAGAAAGTTTAGGGACCCTTGCTACCATGCACTCAAAAGAAAAATAATGTATAAACATCAATTTCATGTAATAACTAGCAAATGTTAGATGTACCGTAATAACCTAACATGGAGGTCATTTTCCAAATTTTGACGGTTTATTTATAACTTGGTAATCCAAATTAGTTTCTCCGAGGGCTTTTTGGGTAATCCAAACATGTCTACAGTCATTACAGATCACTTTAGTCCAAGTTGACATATGAATATGACAACCCATTTTCCTATAGTTAATCACCACGAAATGAAATAGGATAATATTAGGGATGTCAAATTTTTAAACAAAATTTACAAACTAAATTATGTGTTTTTAATAGGAAGTAAGTACAATAATCAACACTTAATAACAATCATCAATATTCACGTCATTTGGTTTGCAAAATTTAGTTTAAAATTTTGATCTCCCTTACATTATCCAATGAAATATATTGGCCATCCCAACTATTATTCTAGAATTTCAGAAAAAAAAAATGGAAAAAAAAGAGGCAGAAAAGAATATGGAAAGTGGATTTGAGTAATCAAATGTCGTTGGTGGATGTGTTGTGGTTTGGATTCTTGTGTGTTGTATTTTTGTGCTTAGGTTTTTTCAATGAACAAGATGTTTCCCAAACTTATCTCTCACATTTCTTGAGTTAAAACCACATAAGCATCCTTTGTTTTTGGCAATGCGTGAAATATCTGCCTGCCCTCTTTACATTCTTGCAGACCTATAATTCCCATAACCTAACTCATAGGATAAAGATGTATGCATTTCAAGGGGTGAGAGAAATGAGCGGTGTTATTATTGTACATGAAAAAAATTACGTACTTCAAATCTGCTCATCAAATGATGTGTTGGGCATGTCATTTTATAAATTTTATTTGATAAAACAAAAAGGGTAAAGCGTGAGTATGACACCTTATTATGCAATTAGTCAAAATTGCTTTCACAAAAGCATGTGACCTCTTGTATTTTGGTCTTAATTATCTAATCCCACCACAACGATCACACTTTGTGTGAGAGTTTCCCTTACGAAACATGTCATACCCAAGTTTCTTTGGCATGGCGAATCATTTACTGAAAATATATGACCAAATATTTGGTGGTGGACGTAGCATTCAAGGGAGAATTTCATAGAACAGATCACTATCACTATGGCGTCCCAAATCACTAATGCAAGGTCATGCACAAGACTTTCTCCTTATGACCTTGTATTTGTGGTTCAAACGACTAAGTGCCAGTGAAACCGCTCCATCCACGTCCTTCTCGTAGCATCGCCCAATTCAAGGTGGCAAGACATTACACATAGATTCTTTGTCTAAAAGTGAAGATGCCTAACATCACGAGGTAGAATAGGAAGAACGTTTGCGCTTGAGGAGGGCAAAAATTGAGAGATTATAAGAGTTAAATGTTGTAGTCAAACATATGATGGCTACATTTATAATTAAAATATGAGAACCCAAATTCAAATTCTCTTTTAACAACACACAATAGTCCAGAAATGTCATCTCAATAATCCTAATCTTGCCCAACAAGTAAGTCCGTCCCACAATAGGCCCTACAGACTCGGAAGAAAAAAAGAACCAAGATGGAGAGATGTCCAGGGTCCATCTTCAATAATGTTTCTACAGCATTATCGTCAACAGGGACGGGAACCGGCCACGATTAGAAAAAATACACCCAAGGATTTTGAATCCTTGGGAGAATATAAATACGGGGTAACGAAACGTAAACTTTTCTATCCGGAAACAAATAAGAGCACTGAAACTCAGCAATGATAGCACTTACAAAGAGAAAATCAAATGCAGACATTTTGCCAGTCGCCCGTCTGGTTTGAATGCAACAGAGAGCAGCGGAGGGGTAAAAAATTTCACTTCATCCAAAAAACAATACACTGTTTCCAGTTTCAACATTTCAACAGGGATTCTACCATTATGTCCGAATGCCAATATGATTAGACCAAGAAAACTCATATGACTAGACCAAGAAAACTATAGTCAAGCTTGATCGTTTAGAGAGATCAGTGATCAGCGTTGATTCCGAATATACGAACCTTGTGCATGTTTGGGAACTTTGCAACTACCAACACAAAAACTGCTAGCGTGTTAAAGATGAGCATTGGATTTTGATAGTCCGTCGTGTGTGAGGCTATCAAGTACCTGCCAAATGAAGATGATGGATGGGTAAGCAAAAGATGTCTTATTGAGTTAGAATTATTCGATACAGTAGCATCACACGTGAGAAAAAAGTTGTACATCCCATGAGCATTCTGGTCTAACATGTCTGAGTGCATTTCTATAATTCATAAGATCAAATTAAGCTAACCAACAAACGTGTGACATCTGTATAACAGCAATGTTGAATTACATGGTTCACTATATTCAGAAGCGCTCACCGATGGGACTTAAATTGAGGGACACTGTATTTAATGGTTAGACACAAGATGACTATTGTAATCAATGATACATTGAAGTGGATGCAGCCCTATATACATTGTCCCTCCCTTTAAGTCCCTTAAGTGAAATGGTGTCTATGTGCAAGGAGTGAGGATTATTGGCAAAATTCTTTAATTTACGAAGATTTGGGCTATTGGTGCTCCACACTCCCCACTGCCATGGAGTGGTACACGCAGCTATATGGTTGTTATTTGCACTTCCCCACAGGGCAGGGCAACCTTAGAAGAGACCATCAAGGGAGCACCGCTGATCTCCCCCTAATGACTAGAATTCATGCTTGCATTTTCAAAATCCAAAAAGCAATCTGCAAGGCTTATAAAGAAGAATTTCAAGTGCTTACAACACAACAGGCACAACAGTTAGAAACTTTCTGTTTCGAGTGAGTTGGTTGCCATTGTCTATTTGCTCCCACCATGTCAGTGCATTGTAGATACCCTGATCATCTGCAAATGGTGTTCCTTTCTTCCAGTGAAAAAAGTGATAAGTAACCTGAAGACAATCAGAAAACATGGTAATAAAGACATCAAATCCACCATACAGATCATAAGATAGATAACGCATACTCGACAACTGGTTAACCTCCAACAAGACATCAACTTTTTACTTTTCTCAAGACGATGCATAACAGATACTTATTACATAAAATCAGCAGCCCCAAATTTGAAGAGAGCTTCAACTCAACTCAATTAAAGGGTAGTGAGAACTCAATGAATTTTTCATTTATCAGTATGAAGTTTACAATTCCAAACTGCAATAACATTACGTGGAAACACACTGCCTATATTCCTCAGATAAAAGTTGTTCATTCCCCTGTACCCAATGCTCAGCAAAATCTGCGCTTCAGCATCCAGATACCAATCCCGTAAAACCCAATCTAATTTCCTGGTGTTAAATCATAGATGCATCCCCGTCTACAAACTAATTCAATACAATATCTCTTTGATTCTCCATCCACACTGGTTACCGACTTTGATTCTTTTGAGAGCATATTATTGAACAGAGACTTGTTTATCAATTCTACCCCATCTCTACTACAGAACTGAACACGAGAGTTTCTTCTCCTCCGCCTCCTTGTGAACTAAAAAGATTATACAACCATAAAGACCTATATAATAAAGTATATAACTTTCGAGATTGTTCACAATTTCATCTAATCAGTTAGAAATTCCCGCATCTTGTCTGGTGTTTAGAAATTTCTACAATTCGATTCAAACTTAACAAAAAATTCACATTCAAGTACGATTTATTCAATGCTACTGAGTTCTTCACCAATCACAACAACCCTAAACCATTCGTCGATTCAGATTCACAATCACAATCCAAGTAATTAACCTAATCCACCACCATAATTAACTAAATCGAACTGGAAAAAATAAGCAGATTTTAAATCTTCGAACAAATAAACACAGAAGACTGAAGAGAAAGGAAGAGAGCAAATACGAGGAAGTGGGAGAGGTGGACGACGGTCCAGGCCATGCCGGGAGAGCAAGAGAAGAGGCAGAGAACGGTGAGCCACGAGAAAAACACCATAAGAATGTAGGTGGTCCAGACTCCGGGGTACGTGAACCACTCCGTGTTCCGATTCAGATCCGTCGGTCGCACCGCCGTTACGTACATTTTCCGATCCTTTTTTTTTCAGGATTTTCTGAATTTTTTGGGATGATGAAACGAAATCAATTAACCGGAAGAGACTACGAGATGAAGATTAAGATTGATGACGACGATGATGGGAGTGTTAATAAGGAGCAGCTGCTCATCATCACCGACGTCAAAAACGAAAAGACGATTTGGGGAAGTTGCGTTGCAGGACGGATTGAGATTCGGGGGATTTTTGGGGTTGGCGACTTGGCGTGTTTTTTTTTTTTTTTTTTTTTTGGGTTATTATTTATTTAGGAATTTAGAAAAAAATAAATGGAATTCGGGCGAAGGAGTATGATTGATGATGAATATTTTTAACGGTCGGTGATGGAGTTGGTGCGAAAAGATCCATTAACCTTACTTAACAATGTATACTATATTATATAAGGCTGGTTTGGTGGGCTCGATAAGATTAGACTTTAGGAATATGATTGAATTGACGGAGACATATAAGATAGGATTTATAACTCATATACAATGATAGGTTAGATAACCGATTTTATTATGAATTAATAATTTATCATATCTAGTCATGTTCATATCACATTTTGACATAATAAGCAACAGAGTGTACTCAAGTCTATTTTAATTAGTCACAACCTATCATAACTAACCCACCAAATAAGCTCATAAGAGTCTCATTCTCCTAGGCTTTAAGGTCCAAGAAAATTGTGTTCGACTATAGTTTGATTTTAATCTAACGATTTACGATCATTTATTTTTAAGATGATGATATTCATACAATCATTTTTACTTCTTACACATATCATTTAGTTTCTGACCGCCAGATTGAATAAATTGTATATCAAGACTACCTAATTTTTATTGTTGTATTTTCTTCTTCCTTGGTAGATTCAAATGAAACAGTAGGCAATTTTGGACCATGAAGTTTAAGAAAAGAGTAAATTACATAGTAGCCCCTCAGATTTGAGGTCTATTACAATCTCATACAACAACTTTAAAACATTTCACTTTCATACCTCCAGTACCATTTTATTTCAAAATAACACCTCCGTTAGATTTTCCATCCATTAGTCTGTTAAATGCTGACGTGGCTGCCACATTTGTGCTGATGTGGCTGCCAAATGTGTGCCACGTGGCAAAAAAATAATTTTTTATTTTTTTTTTATAAAAAAACCTAAATCTTCTAAATAAATTATAAAACCAAAAAAAAAATCAAAATAAAAAACCAAAGCCCACTTCGTCTTCCCTCCTTCCCTCCTCCCCCACCCCCCAAAATCCAACCTGCAACCTGCAACCTAGAAGAAGAAGAGGAGGAAAAAAAAATCATCTTCATCTTCTCCGTGGCACCCATCGTGCACCCACCATTTTCCCTCCTCTACACACCCCACCGCACCCATCTTCTTACCCGTCTTCATCTTCTCCGCAACCCAGAAAAAAAAAACAAAAAAAAAACGTTAGAGACACCTCCCTGCAACCCATACCCCCGCAAACCAAAACCCAGAAACTTTCCCACCCTTCCCCCCCCCCGACCCCAACGAACTCGACCCACCACCACCCTAGCCCAACCGGAAAAAAATTCACTCTCTTCTTCCCACCCTAAATCACCCACCATGAACTCGAGCTCTCCGACCTCGTGCACTGGAAGCTCGCCCACGCAAATGGCTACCCCCCAAGGCTGCATCTTTTGAATCCCCTTTCCTCTCGATCCGGTCACGGCCTCCGACCCACCGCTCCTAATTGACGGGAGCTCGCATGCCCCGCTCCGAATCGACTGTGTTCCCGACTGGCTTGGGTTTAATTGGCATTTCTGAATTTTTTGTAAAGATGTGAAATTTGTGTTGCTTTTGTTTTGTTTGATGGATTTGGATAAACAAAGCAGGGGGTTTGAGGAGGAAGATGGCGGCGGCGGGACACAGGTGAACTGGAGAAGAAGGGTGAGGGTGACGGTTTGTAAGGGATGGGAGGTGTGGGTCTGGGGAGAGAGAAAGGATGGGAGGGTGAAGAGGGAGGAGATGGAGAAGTGGGTCGGGGTTCCTGGGTTTGTATGGTTTTTTATTTTTATTTTTATTTTTTATTTTTTTGGTTTTATAATTTATTTAGAAGATTTAGGTTTTTTATAAAAAAAATAAAAAAATTATTTTTTTTGCCACGTGGCACACATTTGGCAGCCACATCAGCACAAATGTGGCAGCCACGTCAGCATTTAACAGACTAATGGATGGAAAATCTAACGGATGTGTTATTTTGAAATAAAATGGTACTGGAGGTATGAAAGTGAAATGTTTTAAAGTTGTTGTATGAGGTTGTAATAGATCTCAAACCTGAGGGGCTACTATGTAATTTACCCTTAAGAAAACGACACTAATATCATAAGTACATTTTTGTTAGTCCACCCAAAAATTTGTTATGTGGAGAGATTTTCAATGTATTTCGTACACAATCTGGTACACCTATTATCATAACACAATTAAAGAAAGACTAAAAAAATGGGAGTTTTAAAACAAAACATTCCCGGTACTGTTCATTTTTAACGAAAAACTACATTTTTACCTTTAACTGTCACTATTCACTATAACTTTAAAAATGACTTTCCATTAAAAGAGAATTTTTTTTTTTTACTTTTCATTAGTTTTCTTAAAAAAATTTGTCCTTACTTATATTATGACACGAATGGTACTCAACTATATTTCGGTAACATGGAAAAATCTTTGTTTTGCGCCCCACCTACATCCTACAATGTTTCTAACAAAAATGAATTATGATTATTAAAAAGATGTGTGTTTTCAAAATATTCTTTGTTTTGTTTTTATGTTTTTTTATCAGCAGACACGTTTTGCAGCCGTATTTATTTGAAAATATGTTTGGAGGAATTGCTTTTTATTTTATACAAATGATAGCTTAATAGTTTAAATTGTTAGTTGTTATAGAAAATAAAGATCGAATCCTGCACCAAGGTACATAAACATTATTTTTTTTAGCATTAATAAAATGAACGAAGAAATAAAAGGAAACAATTGGATGTTCATTATGATTTGCGTCAACATTTTCTTTTTTGTTAGAGGATAGCCTTCACATAACAATTCGTAATTTAATACTTGAAAACTGGACTTATATTTATTAGACGCAGTTGATTTTCTCTCACTCTCTTTCATTATTATTTTTTGTTAGAGGATCTTTTAAACGTATTTTTCTCGCGTTGACACTTGCCGAACGGCTCCATAATCCAAGACGCTAGTTGTTCAACATCACTTACCCATGTACAAACTGAAGCATTCTACAATGTCAAAATACAAGAATAACATCATATCATTTGCTTGTATTGTGGGGGAGAGTAAATTACTAAATTGTGATGCTTGGAAAATATATTGATATAAAGCTCAATTTTCATCAAAGACCAATTAATGCCCTTCCTATTTGAACAGAATATTAATTTGACAACATATAAGGAGGCCAAAGCAAAAACTTTTCAAAGGCTAACAGTTGCATTGCCAGCCCCATCCAATCCCTCCACTAATCTTCTCTTCGCAGACTTCGTTCTAAAACACCAGACCTCGAAGGCCTCGCTCAAGTCCGGGTACTGGACCTGCTCGGCTCCCATCCAGTCTGCCAGAATGTCCGCTTGATCATTTGACGGCAATGCCAGCACCAAGGTCACCATGGCCCCTTCAATGCTCTGGCACAAGTCTTCACTCATCTTGTATGGAAAGCCCGTCTCCTCGCTGCCCTTTGAGTCCAAGAGCGGTTTCATCTTCCTTATATAAGGCAGCCATGTCTTTAGTAACGAGACGCGGATTGGAGTTGGAAGAATCACATTGCCATAGCCAACTGCTTCCAAGACTTTAGCAGTCACTTCTATGAGCTTGATTTTCAAACCCCACATAAAAGAATCTAGTTTCTTATCCTCGATTACTCCTAAAACGTTACTTGAGCTTTCAGCCCAGTTGGATACGAAATCCTTCGTCAAATCCATCTTCCCAAGTATGTTAAACATCCACTCAAGATCAGACAAACTATGCAATATTTTCTCCTCTGCCCTATCAGATACAAGGTCAGGCTCCAAAAGTAGGGCAGACAACTCCTTTTCAAACGTCGAATAAATCTGCAATAGACCCATTCTCAGCACTGATTTTACTTCATCATCAGCTGTGACCAACGGTGCATCGTCATCTTCTCCTAACATGAATTCAACTTGTTCTTGGGCACAAGTCTTAAGCTCGTTACCAAATGGAGGGCATGGTTCGGAAATGGATGTGGCAACGCGAACCGCTGAGACAAAAACGTTTTTGGTGGCAGCTAAATCAACAGGTTGGATCCTGGCTAATATCGGCATAGCTATTGGACCCAAATTTGAAACTGCTTTTAGGATAAGTTCCTCTTCTTTGTCCTCCCAAGGAACAGCCTCTAAGTACTGGATGCAGCAGCGTGCAATCTCTTCGCACTGGAAGGCAACTGCTACCTGAAGAATACCAAGTGCAGATTTAACAGAATCCAACGAGTCCGAAATTGAGTCTGCTGGAAGATAAAGCAGCTTCAACAGGTTGACATGGTGATCGTGGTTAACCTCTGAGCAATGTATATTGATGCAATCACTACAGCTCGGATGAGAAAGCCGGTTGGCAAAGTACTGGCTCCTATTTATCAGAACAGAGGAGTGGGAATAGAACCGTTTCGGTATCCCTTCTCTATTCTTCAAGCATATAACAACGTCACTAGTTTTCCGATCACCAAACCTGCAGGGCTTGGTCTGTAAAGCTTCGTCCATGTGCGCGAACAACGCTCATGCTTTAAGCAATCGAAACAGCAAAAATTCGGAGTCGTTTCCAGCTGCAAATTAAGATTTTCTTAGATACTCGGCTCACATAACCTAAACAAACATCAACATAATGTATATAAACTTGCATATTGTATACAATTGTATGCAATGATCTATGTCACCAACTGATAACAATCTTCTTAATTTTTCAGTATCCAACATAGTTAACAGATAATCATTACTTAATCAAAAAGGAAATTAAATCAAACCCACGGATAAGAAACAAGATTATTGCAGCTAGAAAGCACCTCAATTAACCAAACAACTCAGGATTTACTTAACATAAATGATTCGATTAAATCAAATTAACAAATCCCTGGTTGGATTCCGTAAGCTAGTAATGATAATAGTGAACTAAACACACACTAAGAACTAAACCCAAATATGGCTCCAATAAAATAGAACAATTCTTGATTTCTCACAGGCCACAGGTAAATATTACTAAATAATTAAAACCCATCAAATTTATCCAATCCCCTTTCAATTATTTGGAGCAAAATATTCAAAGTTCCAATCTTTTTTTATTGCCCTCAAATAAAAATTCCACTTTTGCTTTTCAAATTGGTAATTCTGAAAGAATACATAAACAAATAAAACTCACCTTTAATTTTATCAACCGCAGAAATGGATCTGCAGTGTTCCAGTGCAAAATTGAATCTGAATTTTGCTGCAATTCAGAAGGGTTAAAAAGGCGCAGAAGAAGCCCTCCATTGGAGGCTCTGATTTTTTGAGTTGAGCTTTTTCAGTGGTGAGAGCTCCGAGGAAGACGAAAGCTTTGGAGTGAAGGGCAAAAGTTTACAGACTGACCCAATGGCCCTTGTGTATGAACTGTAATTTAGGATGACGTGCTGCAACAACAAGAAGGTATAGGAGGAAATTAATATGAATTTGAAGGGCAATTTTGTGCAAATAAACATGGGGCATTAGTTCACTACCCTATATTGGGGAACAGTTGTTTGGTGGAGACAACGTTATTTGTATCTGATTGGTTCTTTGCATCAACTTGGCAAATTGGCAGTGCCCACTTGCTCTTTTCTTAAAGGATGAATGATTTCATAGCTACTTTACCTTGAAGTAATCTTGTTCGGTTCTTTATAGGTAAGGAATCACTTGTTTCATCTAACGTACGGATCACAAATATTCAAAAGCAACTCATTAAAATCACGAAAAGAAAAGAAAATTTCATATACAAATATCAAATTCCTTTTTCTTGCAATCTTGTAAGATTTTTTTATAGATACCAATTGAAGCGTGAAAGGTCTTGGGAGAGATAGGTATACTGCTATAGCTGACTAACAAGCTCTTTGAATAAGATTTTAAAAACAAGGAAGATGTCAAATGAGTGGCGAAAAAACACTTTGATGCATCTACAAGAATGAGGATGACATACAAAATTGCATGAACTAGAGGGGTATTAAATTAATGAATCGTACAATTAAGCTTTAGGAAAGAGTAATTGGTCATAAACTTAGGCAAGAGGCACCGATCTAGACAATCGATTCGGGTTTATGTCAAGGTGCTCAATTACGAAGGCTTCTCTTACGAAGATCTATAGAACGATATAGAGATATATAAAAGGATTTGCATATGGTTTTTATAGATATGGAAAAAGCGCATGATAAGGTCCCAAGTGAAATTCTTTGAATGATTCTAGAGAAAAAAGGTGTACGAGTAACATATATTCAGACAATAAAGAATATGTACGATGGAGTAAGGACTGTAGTGAGAACTCATGAAGAACAAACTTAAAGCTTTCCCATAACCATAGGGTGACACCAAGGCTCAACATTTTAGTCCTTACCTTTTTGTATTAGTAATGGATGAGATAAGAGGACATTTTCAAGATTATATCTCATGGTGTGTGCTTTTCGCATATGATATAGAGTTGATAGGCAAAATGCAAAGTTTAACCTTAGCAGGAAATGTTGGAATCTAAAAGTCTTTCAATCCAATGGAGGTCCAAATGAGATAGGAGTGAGGATCAGAGATCAGAAGGTACCAAAGATTGAACAATTCCAGTATCTTGGATTTATCTTGCAAAAGAAGGAGAATTGGATGGAGATCTCAACCGTAAAATACAAGCTAAAAGGATGAGTGGAACAATGTATCAGGTGTGTTGTGCGATATGCCACTACAGCTCAAGGGAAAATTTTATACGACGGTAATTAGGCCAACAAAACTTTATGGCAAGGAATATTGGGCGGTAAAGCATCAACACATGTAAAAAATAATGTAGCGGAGATGAGAATGCTTTGTTGGATGTGTGGCCACACGAGAAATGATAGGATTAAGAACAATGATATATAAGGTAAAGTAGGAGTGCCCCAATTGAGATAAGATGAAAGAAAATCGGTTAAGGTGGTTTGGACATGTGAATCGAAGATCTGCAAATGCTTTGGTTAGAAAAATGCGATTATGGAATAGAGGGTCAGAGCAAAAGGGGTAAATGAAGACCTAAGAGGACTTGGAAAGACACTTTAAAAAAAGATATGGAGTACTTAAAGCTAACGGAAAACTTGGTGCAAAACTGAATATAGTAACGTTCTAAAATTCAAACAGTCAACCTAGTGGAATAAGACTTTGTTGTTATTGTTGGTACATTTTAGTATCATAGTGTGGCAGGCTTAATCACATCTACTAGAGGGAGGAATATTTACATTCGAAAGTTATTGACTAGCTATTCTTTACTAAAATTTCTCATCCACAATGTCAAAAGAGGTAAAAGGTTCGACTTCCATGTCCTACACATATCAGAAAAGAAAGTTCATAAAAATTTGTGTGATCTTTCGGTTTTTTTGACCTTCTTAACAAACAAAGCATGTTTTTCGTATTACAAACAGAAATGGATGGAAAGCCTCGGACAAGAATGAAGCGCATGCCAAATTATTAAATAATACTTTAAGAAAAAGATCGAATTTGTGATAACGATCATCAATGCGTAATCACAATAGACTTCATTTTTACTTATTAATTAATTGTATGTAGCTAGAGAGAAAAGAGAAACTCGCACCTAGCCGCCTACTCATGACTTTAGCTTCATTGGTCGGCCGCAACCATCACCTTCCTCTTCCTTTTCCCTTCCCTTTTTCTTTGTGGTTCTTTTGTCCTAACATTTTTCACCGGTCTTCATTCGGCTTTAGCTGCATGGGCGGTGTTGTTGCGACAAATAACAACGTATGGTTTTGTAATCTAGCTATAGTCAAGTTGACTTACGTATATTTTCATTACATATTTGTCGTGTTATGTTGATTTGTGATCGAGCCTGCATGGTTGCTAATGAAATTTTATGAACTCAATTAGTTCATGATCAAGGGCAAATCTATTAAAGGACTTAGGTGGTCCCGGAACCAACCAGAAGCTCGGATAAGTGGCTATGAGAACCTCCGAGAACTACCCAAGTAGCGACGACTGCACTGCAGATTTTGCAAACCAGAAGCATAAGAAGAGTACTATTTTTTTTTTCAAAAAATAAAATGACTTTACCAAAACGACGTCGTTTTGAGCCAAGCCCCATCTATAATAAAAAAAAAATCAACCTTCTTATTAAGCCACATGAGAGCCTTATCTTTTTTAATTCAAATAAAGAAAGAGAGGTTCGAATGATTGTTTCCTCTACCCCATACCTCCAGACTTCACTTCACCCAATCCCATTTCATTCACTTTCGAAATTCCAATTGGCTAATTGGCTAAATGGCTATCCCCACACAGCCAATCCCAGGCCACCACAGTCTCCTCTCCACGACCACCACCTGGTTCACTTCTCTTCACCACCATTTAATCCCCTTCTAAATTTAAGAAAGTTTTATATTTTAGTCTAAATTAATCAAATAAGATATTAAACTTATAATAGATTATAGTTATTGTTAATTTGTCATAACCTTTTGCAATTGTTTGGATCATTTGTTTTGTTGGTTAGTTCATATACATATTTTTTCGCTTCATCAGTATGATTTTTTGTTTTGATTAATTAATATATGCAAAAATTAGAAGTATGGTATGATATTATAAGCAAAAATCATCACCGATTAGTTTGGACAATTCTATTTCATATAGCTCAACTCCAATTTTGGACAGTTCCAAACCTATTCAGGATAGTTCCACTCCATTTCAAATAGTTCCAATCTGATTCCAGATAGTTCTACTCCACAACAAAACTGGTTAGAAATTGATTTAGATAATCTTGATAGAGACCTTGGAAAGAGAATTCCAATGAAGGATTAGTCTCCAAATATTCGAGATGAGGTTCGAAGAGAATATATATTGATGGGGCCTTATAGAACTAACCATTGTGATTTTCCATTCACATTTTCAAAGTATGAAACCTCTTGTGGACAAATTTAGTCTTTGTAGCTTGTAATGTTGTTTGTACAAATATTTTGAATGAAAAGTTAGTAGTTTATCGTTTAATTTTTCGATGTTATTTTCGTCTAATTTCTTGAGAGCTTTTATATTAGGACAACATCGAATGTGCAAGATGTTCCCAAATTTCATGAAAGACCTTTGCAATTGAATGTCAAAATCTATACTTTTACTATGAGGGGGATTCTGGATGCTTGTTAATGGTCATGGCATCGTCATCTAAGCCTCAGCTAATAAGTCTGCTTGCTCTTCTTCTCATCTTCCTCCACCTCTCCCTTCTTTCCATTGTGCATGCAGACCCTCACGGCACTTCTCTCTCCTCAGCATCTCATACAGTTCGATAATTACGTTTTTGCCCTTGTATTATATTCCGAAATTCTGAATACTGCATTTTTTTCCCCTTCTGATATTGCAGAAAGTGATCTTTGTAATTACGATGACGATTCCGATCTGGATGATGTTGCTCCAAACAAGTACAAGCTCGACGACTGCGTTTGAGTAGCAGGGAATGCAAGGACACATGGGACTGCGGCCCTGTGTGCAGAGACATGGGAATATTGAACCCTAATGCCATCAAATGTGTTGTTCCCAACCAAGCTGGTGGAACTGGAAAACTTTGCTGTTGTCTTCCTCCTACTGAACCCAATTAGATACCTACCTTAATCACCTTTTTACATCAAAACCCTGACTTCAACGTTGTTTTGTAATAAAGATAATTAAGGTGAGGATTTTCATTTCTCCTAGATGCTTAATTTATTTGAATTTGCATGAGTATGTATTAACTTGCAAAAGATTATTGTTTGATAAAACTTTGATTAGAGTCTGACGCAATGCGCCAAGTGAAGTAATAATTGATTAAATTTCGCCGTTAAGGATGCAAATTCATTACAGATGTTGATCGACTTGGGCTTTGGCAGTTTTGGGTCCTTCCGCCCAAGTTACAATCATGTCGAGTGATGCAACTTTGTTACTTTTTTGTGACATATACTACCGGCATCCTACCATAAGCTAATCTAAATTGTGGGAAAGGAGACTCAAACTCCATGCATAAGGGAAGCACATCGACTTTGACCAATGTAGTTACGCTCATGTCTACAAAACATTTTGTTACCTTTACGGCATGCTTAGATAATTGGGTGCCCAAATCACTAAAGAGATATTTTTCAAACCTTTATCCCAAAAAAGCACCTAAAAGCTAATCAGTTTGTCCATGGGCCTAATAATCATGCCCAAAAAAAGTCATGGGCCATTTCAAGCCCATTTCCAATTTACTCGGGAGAAGCATACCATAGGCAGATAAAGAGGATTTCGCACGTGCGAAGCCGAAGTCGGAGGAAATGACAAAACTAGACACCCCTTCTGGCTTCTACTTCTGTTCTGCCCCTTCAGATGGAAAAAAGAGACCTTGATTACGTCAATCCGCATCATCAATACCTGACAGGGTCATCATTCCACCCGGCATGGTACAATGACGTGGCAGACACTGGTCCAGTGTGGCCCCCCACAACCTACGCTGGTCCCCCCCCTTCTCGTCCTCTCTTCTCCCCAGAGAGGAGAGACCACACTGACTAATCAGAGGTTGCAAAAATATGAAGAAAAGCATCTGAACCGTCCAGTTACTTGTTCCCCATATCGCCGGCACTCGCCATCTCAAAATAACTGCCGTCTGATTGACGCGTCCATCAAC